CCCCACACACACACACACACACGCACTCACACTCAAAAGTTCTCATTCACATTTTAATGCACAAGAGTATAAGTTGACAAGCCAGTGAAATTTGTTGTCTGTGACAATACTCCAAATGCTTTTAATCTGACACTTGCTCGACGTTTTCGTTTGGGTTTGTTTGTTTTTTTTAAATTTGGAGTGGCTGCCAGGGTAATTTCTTTTTTCCCAAGTCGACAACAAGTTCTTTGGGGTTTTTTCACATTTAAAAGCAGTTTGTGGGTGATTGGCGGGCGCTCTGGTGTGGTTTGTTCCTTCTTACCTATCAAACAAACATCGTCCTTGTATCTCCTCCTTTTTGTGTATGTTACTCTCTAGTAACAAATCTATTTTTCGGCACTCATATGACTTTATTGTGTTGCAAGTGCAGTGAAAATCGTACTAAAACTTTTTTTTTTTTTAGTTTGTGAGTTTCACACCACTCAGAGAAGTTTGATATATAATTTTGAGAAGCAATTTCGTCATGGTCAGCCTGGGTGAGCCTCAGTATGGTCGAATCAGTTTTACAAAGCTCCTCAACTTAATGCTATTGTTGTCAATTAATCTGGCAATCGTTCGTGTACAGTGTGTAAACAAAACTGGCATACTGATGTGTGTCCATGATATAAGTTTCAATTTTACGCACCAAGTTCAGTTGGTCAGAAAATGTCCTATCCATGGTGTTAAATTGACGTTTACACCTAGATCTATGTTTTCTAATTTCTTTAAAAGGATGGCTTGCTGGGTAGTGTTAAAAGCTGGAAAAACCCACAGAGACAAACAGGATCCTACTATATGTTTTGATTTGTTTAAGTGTCTATAGACGTTGTCAATAAATAATAAAATGGTCCCTTCCATACTTCTCCCATGGCGGTATGCAAATTGTACGGGGTCCTGGACAGGTTAAGTATAATATTATTCTGTTCGTAGCCTTTTCAAAAACATTTGTCAAAACATTTCATAACAACAGAGTTAACCGTGATTTTTCTCTTTGTTTCTGCGCTTGTTTAGGTTGGGGGTTTTCGGGGAGGGGACTTTTTAAGTTTAGCTTTTGGTTTGAAGTATAATGTATATTATACAACTCGTGATCTAATACTATGACATTCTATAATCCGATCCAAGCCGTGATTATTGATGCTTGTGTAAGGCT